AATTTTCCCGTCTCTTCAAGCTCAATCGAAAATGGGCAAGCAGGATAGCCCGTCTCTCGCCACGCCAATCAGCGCGGCATATTACGATTGTCTTGTCACATCCCCGCGGAACTTCCGTTGCGCTACCTTTCACTTCAAAATGCTACAAATGTTTGAACGTCTTATAGGACGAATTGTTGAATCGCCTCAACACATTTCGATGCAACAGGGAATTGTGCGATATTGTTCTGTTTGTCAGGTAATATCTAGCCTAGGTTGTATTACATAGATGGTGGATATTTCGCTTCCTTTCCTTCAGGGAAAAGGAAATATTTGCACATAAAGTCGTACTGGCCGCCGTATCGCCTGCTCTCTTTGATATGTTCTTGAATGACAACGATGAGGAGAACAATAGTAATTTTTCATCCTTCTTTGATTTCCTGTATTCAGAGGTTGCGAGGTGTACTGCTGTTGTACAACTGAAATTCATTTTCAGTCACTCCCAGTGAAAACCAGGAGAACGGTCACGATCCAGGTCCTCCACATTTTACCACGACACTAACGGTCGCGCCATCAACTAAAAAGCCTATGGCGTATTACGACTTCACTCAAACTGATTATGAATGCTTTGAAGCGCTTGTCAACTTCGCCTATACTGCATGGTGAGCTTTCATTGAACTTGTTCAGATATTTTTATGTAAATAAGATATCATTTTTGAGAACAGAGAAAATTACTAAGGACCCGAGGGCTGTGGGAGGGAGGGGGCAGCGAGACTAGGCCATGCTCACTCTGGTGTGGTGAGATCTTCATGCCTACGATTGTTTGAGATGAAAACACTATCCTGGTGGAAGGGCCCAGACCTCCACCACCACCATCCCTTTCCCCGAACAGATCCAGTGGTCACGCTTTTTGCAACAGAAAGAAAGTCGCTCAGGCTTCTCACCGAAAATTCGGCGCAGTTCGGCTTAGTGGGCGGCAATAAGTGTTATTCTGTGACACCTGTACAGCCCACGCTTGTGAAGACCTGTGAATTCTTGTAACCAAAGTGATAGCGAGTTGCATCACTTCGCAGCTTCACAAGAGTTCAGGGACTTACGGAAATTATACCTGCTACTCAACATGAAGTAGCGAAAGTGCAAAATACCTCTCCCAAACCGAACAGCGCGAAGAATGCTCAGAAGAAATGTTCGGCGCACGAATTCTCTTCTTCTTGCACTGACTTGGAGCACAAGGTCACTAACTCAGAAGACATTGGAAGCTTCACAAATTCTCATTTTTCTACAAGTTTCCTGCATCACTCAGCCTCGCTTTCAGAGGTCTCCAAATATAATAACTGTCTTTAATTCAGTTTTTTGTACCTTTTTCATAGTCGTAGGTATTTATTTATGTTTTCGTTCTCTGAAACACAGGGTTCATGAGAATACTTGAAAAATTGCTAATTTCCCGTTCCTTAAGACAACGTGTACAATTTCAGTTTGGAAATAAGTTCGAAAAAGGTTGCTGAGCTTTATAAGACAGCCTTTGCTCTCCAAATGACTCCGGTCGTCAAGGCATGCGCTCATTTTCTAGCGGACAACCTTAGTTTGAAGAACTGCATCGGTAAGTTGAGCCTATGAATAGGAAACGAGCCCCTCAAAGTCGGTTCAGCCGTTCTTGTGTGAATCCATTTTCTCGCAGGGATTCGGCGGCAAGCGAACTTTAACGATGATACATATCTCCTCAGCAAAGTTGATGCTTTTATTCAAGAAAATTTCGAGAAAATTGTGAATGACAGCGTAGAATTCACTCAGCTACCCTGTATCAAGGTACGTTATGTTCCTGTAATTATTCATAGTCAAAAGCGAGTAGATGCTACAGTTCTTGTCCCCAACTATGCTTGAGTGCACTACTTCGTTAAACCCTTGTAGCTTTGATTTTCTTTCATATTTGCTTAATTT